TTATGCATAAATGATTATCAGTGTAACATCTACTACTGACATTTCAATAAACTGTGATTAGCTATGAACAATGAACTATATAAGCATATCATTACAAGTAAGGAAATTACAATCAAGCCTTATAGGTTTTTGAGTCAACAGAGCATAACAATATCGCCAACAAATATGGACATATTCAGTTCGGTAGTATTAGAGCCTCTTTGTTAACTAGAGTTGTAGCCTACTATTTTCCATGAGCATATCCCACACGAAGACAAGAGGGGGAGAGAGACATCTTTAAAACCCTTTTTTAAAAAAATGAAACCAAAACTGCTGCCAGAGTTACTACCTATGTAGTTGTATAATCCAGGTCAGTAAGTGACAATGGCAATTTAATCAGGATATCCGTTGACTTTTGATAAATAATGCTCTGTAACAAGCATAGTGGCATAAAATAATAAGCATTCATTGAGCTCACACATTTGTGGGCTGGCTGGGAGACTGCTGATCTAGGTTTGGGGAGAGTTTGCTAGAGCAGCTTTCCTCCAAATGTCTCTTAGCCTTCTATGTGGTCAGTAGGAGAACCTAGAAATATTCTTCTCACAGTGCTGGCTGAAGCCCAGAGATCAAGCCCAAGCACATTTCATGACTCTACTGCATCACATCTGGTCACCTACCATTGGCCAAAGCAACCCGAACGGCCAAGCCCGAAGTCAAAGGGCAGGCCGTACACTTCAGCCATCGTGAGATCAGAGCAGGTTACATTGCTCTGCCCCGCATCAACGGAGCCAGGAAGTATCTTCATTCATTGGAAACGAGGGGGAAGATGTGACTATTTCAAACAATAATCTAATCTACCACAATCCAGTGTCATCTAGATAGAAAAAAATGTGTTGGATCACCAAACCCTTCTTTGGCAACTGAACCAGTACCATTACTCTCAGCTACGTTAGTTAGCTTTGGCTGCAAAAACAAACACCCTCAAATCTTACTGAGACACATTTAGCAGACTGTAGTTTACAGGGGAAACAATGATTTCTTGGCCACATTCCATGTCTCAGCTGTAGGTCAGCTGCTATAGCTCTGTTCCAAGCTGTAGCTCTTCTCATTCTGGACTCACGCTGAAGGAACAGCTCCAGTTTGGGATGTGCTGTTCTTGTAGCCGAAAGGAAGAGCAAAAGAGCTGTCAGAAACTCGTGATGCCTTTACAGCTTCTGCTCTGAACTGGTACCCCACCGCCACTTCTGCTTCTCGGGCCTAAAATAGACCAGGACCTCTGGTGTCAGTGATGCAACAGGCTGGTGTTGGGAGGTGGCTGAAGCTATTGTGATGAGAGGTGGGTAGAGCTGCCAGATCTCCTAGGGCTGCTTTTCTACCAAGCAGGTTCTTTCTAATTCATTCTAGCTTCACTGCAGCCTAGGATGTGCACCCCTAGGATGAGGTGGGAACTGGAGAGGTCTTGGGGGATGAGGTCATTTGCATGGTATTAACTTCTTCCAAAACTCAGGATTTACCAAAGAGAGGTTCCGTGAAAAGTGTAAGGAGAGCATTGGGCAACCAGCCTTGGGCATGGGTTCCTTGATGTTATTATAGCCAGAGAGCAAGGATACCAGCTCAGGCAACAGAGGGTTTCTGAAGGTGTGAGGTGACTGTGTAACCGTAAGGTTTCCTGGTGGTCCTACTGTTGACATGGGCAATAGTTCCTTGAGTTGCCAAAATAGGAGTAATTGATAGCATTACCCCCCAAACTATAATAGGATCCTGCCTTGGTTCTGGTGCTGGAGTTCAAGTCAAATGCCTGCACTACCTACCAGTATTTCTGAGTATTGAAAGAGGGATTTTGCACATTGTCATGCTTCGTGGAAACATTAATATCTCTGAAATAGAAAACTATGGTTTGGCCTATAATTTGCCTGAATTCAGCTATTAGCAAGGTGTTTTAAACGTCTTTACGTTTTAAAATTCTTTCTCTTTTTAAAGACAATACTTTGTCTTTCTACTTAGGTTGTACACTTTTTAAAGGCTGGAGATGGACAGGGTCAGTTTGAAGACATTTATTTCAAAACTTAAAGCCCCCATTGAGAAGCAGGTGATTACAAACATGAGACTGGAACTTACAAGACAAGCCTGGAAAATCTTGTCGTGCTAATGAGCAAGGAAGCATTCAGAAACTACTAGAGGTGTGGCAGAGGGACTCAGGAACCAGCAAAGATGAGCCTCGTCTGTCCAAAGACGGGGGCAATTTGAGCGTCAGTAGGATAATAACAATAACTGCAGAAGACTGAAACATACACAGTATGTATAAATCCAGGAGGTCATAATGAGGCTTAAAAAACCCATAGCCCACAATGCATTGATCACTTCGAGAAGGCAGGCCACCGATTTGCTAATTTGAAAAGAAAGAATTATGCCTATATCCTGTCTTTCCTATAGGAACTGTATGTGAGAGTCATCTCAGTTGGTGGGATAAGTTAGTCTTTATATAAGTATTCCAGTAACACATGAAGAAATAATGACAAAATGGGAATACTGTCAATTTGCAATCTCTGATGAATGAATAAATCCAGGCAATGAGTATCAGTGGCAGCTAACATCACAAAAGAAGAGAGAGGCACAGAGATACTAGGTGTCTCTTAATGGAAATGTACAAAGCCACTTATGAAGGAGTCTTGCCCAAAATGGCAAACCTGAACTTGCTTAACTCTAGATCTAACTCTACCAAGTTAGTTATATTTAGTTGTATTCCACCACAGGGAACACAAGACAGAGGGTCATGTTAAAGGATCCAAAGAGATGTAATCAGTGAAATTTAGACTTCAGAAAACTCAACAGAGAGAAAATCCCGTAGCATTCTCCACCAAAGTTGCTAGAAAAAGTTGCTAGAAAAAGAAAACCTATAGATTAAAAAAAGACTGAAGAGGCTTATCAACCTATCACAACACCTATCACTAGGATCCTACGCCCACAGTGGTAGCTAGGATCCTAGAGTCACTGAAGTCCTGGAGAAACTGAAGTCTGATCAAACCTGACTTTCAAATGGAGATCATCTAACTGCTAAAAACTAGAGTTCAAGTGTCTTGGAAGCCACTGGATCCATAGTTCCCGATCACTTACAATCACAAGGATGTAGAGCATTTAAGTACCTCCCTGCTGAAATGATCTCTATGCTGCTCATGAATTCGAAGCGGGTCAGTGGGTGTTGGACTGGACACTCACAGGATGTGGAATAGCAGCTATTTTGGGAATCATCCTCTGGCCTCTCAGCAACACTCATGATAACACACAATGTGCATGGTTAATGCAACATCTTCTTTCATAAGCCATCAGCACACACTATGTTTTCTACACTCTTACAACCTTGATTTAGATCTTACACATGCTTAGCTCTGGGACTACGTGCAACGTCTTCAGGATACTGATGAACGAATAGCTATAATACTCATTTGGCCATTAAAACTGAGCACAAAGTATCATTCATTTGATCCAGCTGTGCAGACCAATGGCTCGTGTGACCAGAGCAAGCTGAGAGGGCAGTGGGATGTTATTTTCCCTAGAAGCACAGCTCAAATGTTCTCAGTCAAAGAATGACAAGGATCAACTAAGATAAAACGTGATCTGTTTTATCTTTACCATATATTTTATGACCTGTAAACCTCAAGGTAAATCATTAATCTACTTCCAACAGTGACAGTTGGTCAGTTGAAACCTTTGTAAACACAGAGCCTACTGCTTGTCGCTTAATGTAAGAGTGAAAGAAGAAGGTAGAAATCCGAAAATAACCGACCAGGTTCTGGGGAACTAGGAAGTTGGGGAGTTGACAATACAACACACAAACCCATTTTTATCAGAACGTTTCTAGCAAAACAAACTGAATGCTACAAAAGAAAACAATGTTAGCAATATTAATATTAAACATTTAAAAATTCCTCTTATGGACTTCCCTGGTGTTGCAGTGGTTAAGAATTGGCCTGCCAATGCAGGGGACACAGGTTCGATCCCTGGTCTGGGAAGATCCCACATGTCGCGGAGCAGCTAAGCCCATGCGCCACAACTACTGAGCCTGCGCTCTAGAGCCCGCGAGCCACAACTACTGAGCTCACGTGCCACAACTACTGAAGCCGGCGTGCCTAGAGCCCATGCTCCACAACAAGAGAAGCCACCGCAATCAGAAGCCCAGGCACTGCAACAAAGAGTAGCCCTGCTCGCCGCAACTAGAGAAGCCCGCGCGCAGCAATGAAGACCCAACTCAGCCAAAAATAAATAAATTTTAAAAAATCACTCTTAAATGTTCCTTTTATAATAATCCTCTGTTATTCTGCATTCACTTAGTCTTTTCAGCTAAAGCAAAACTTATATCTTTTTTATATGTTATTCTCTAATTATTCAGGCGTTGCTTCAAATACATGTATATGTCTTCGGCTGCATATCAAATCTTTGAAAAGACAAGAATGAGCTTTTAATACACAACCCCCTTTTCTCTTAATGCAGTGACACAGAGGCACCCAAAAAGCCTTTGCTGGAGGAAGGAAGGAATGATGGAAGGAAGGAAAGAAGGGAGGAAGGGAGGGAGGGAGGGCAGACTATTCAGTGTGTGTAAGTCTAAAGGTTGAAATATTACATTACTGCCCAAGCTCTGGTCGGCAGAGATAATACTTCTAAGACTAAATTTAAAGACACATCTTTAGACTTAAATTGAATGTCAAGAAAAGATTTATAGTTTGTCCAATTAAGATGAATGAATGATTAATTACTATGGGACCTATAGTAGGTGATTCAAGTATAGTAATTCAAGTAACTTGGTGCAACTATTAAAATATGGACTAAATGACCAATTCACTTCAATTATAATGCTATTACAACTTCGCAATTATTTCTTCTTTAATACACCTTATGATTCTTCCCAAGGTTTTTTTTAAAGTCAAACTAAAAATGATTAGTCATATATTTGATAATATGTGCATAAGTGACAAATTAATTCACCCACTTCAACAATACTTGTTACTAGTAATATGTAAGATTACCTCCGAGTAATTTGGCGAGAGATATTTCCCATTGCATTTCGCAATGCTCCTCAGAATTTTTAATGCTTTATCTCCTTTCTTCCGAGTAATCAGCCAGCGGGGAGATTCTGGAACCACCCTGGTGAGAAGAAGTCTTTTTTGAGTTATGCCTGCGAATCTCAAAACTTAAAAGTTTATGACTTGAATTTCTCTATCGAAATGGATCTTGTGATCAGATCCATGTTTCGGAGATTCTGAGAGCTTAGAACTGGCTCTCTGAAACATAGATTATCTTTGCAAGTTTATAACGGACGGGAAAAAATGCTCACTTGATAATTGAATCATTGCTCATGATAAAAATAATCAATAGTACATTGCTCTCGCAAGAAGGCTGTCTTAGAATATACAGCCCTCAATTACAAAGATGAAAAAAACTGGGATTTAATGAACATTTAGGAAAAGGTTAAGAACCCAATTTAAGTGAACTGGTTTGCTCATATATTAAAATTAGATTAGAGGATGATTAAAATATGTTCATTCTAATAGGAGTCAAATGCACACACCTGTAGCTTTCCGATAAGATAATTTTCTGAAGCTCTTAACATTTTCTTGTTCCCCTGAGAATTCCTGAGTCACATTAATTTGCTTAATAAAACATACAGACAAGCAAATCTTGTTCATTGCATTTAAACTGCATGTTGAAATACTGGCACATATGGTTTGTTGCCTTGTAGTTTTCATAAAAAGATTACAAAATAATAAAACATAATTAATACTCTATTTTAAAGGTGTTTTTCAATTTTATTAATTTAATAATAACTATTAGTCAAAAACCAATAAATAATCTCTAGAAATTCGCAAAGCCCATAGCCATTCTGGAGATGTTAGAAAATCTCGCCTTCGTTTTCATGTTGGTTTGGAGGCACAGATTCTACATTTCTGTGTAATAAGAATAAATTTGATAATGACCAAAACCACATTACCAGTAATAAAGGAGGAAGAGAAAGTTGGGCAGCGTGATGGCTAGCTGGATCCCTTGCCAATTGGGGATAAAGTAGGCAATTCCAGGGAGAATTATGATTCCAAGGGTGAAGAACATTTGAATCACTATTCCCACAATCCTCCTTTGTTTTGAACCTACTATTTCTGTCACTGAAGGAAAACAAACAGAGAGGTTAGGGAAGCTCAAGATCAGCTCCAAAACAAACAAACAAACAAACACAGACGTTACACCTGTGACATCCATCCATCAGTGGCGCTAGAGTACTATACAGGACTCTCAGAGATCCAGAAGCTTCCATAGGCACTGACCTGATGGGGATGTGCTTCCCAGACAGCTCAGGTCCCTTCCTCTCCCCCTTTTCTCTGCGTTATCAACAAGCATGTGCCATCCTCCTACACACCCAGCCCAGCACCCTTCCGGGTATACAAAGAATATATGCGTTGGTTTTAGGAGAGCTTAGACGATGACTATTTTGAAAAGTAATTGTAATTATCAAAACATAAATATAATAAAGTGGCTAGATTTTATCACAGTCTTTAAAGATTTGCATATTACAGTCTCTTTAGGTGATTCATCATGAGCATTAGATTCTAGAGATAAATTTTTCACTATCACAAGATAGTTTCTATCAAATGATAATTCTCTCCACAGTGTTGGACCTTTCATTTGTGTGATATTCCTTTGAAAAATCACATGAGGAATTTTACTGCTGGCATCCTTTCCTCCCCTCCCCTCCTGCTGATCTGTTTCTATCTGTCCCTAATTCCATTCTGATCATCCTGGCATATGTTACCTTATTGCTGCCCTAAGATCACAGCTAGGAAAACTCACCTAGACTGGGGTCTCCTTAAAAACGCTTCATAGTCCGAAGTTATCCCTTCTGCCCCAGCCATCAACCATCAGTCCCCCCAGCTCTCTTTCTCCTTCCTCGCCCACAAAAAGATCTTCAAAGGGTCCCCAAAGTGGGCACCCCAAAGAGGGGCTGTCCAGCAGTAACAGAAGTGAGTGGAAGCCCACAGATCTGGGGTGATAATCAAAGAGGAGGCTTCATATTTCCCTGGTCACAAATCCACCACGACTTTGAGTGGGTGCCTATCCCAGACACTACTGGAAAGGTAGCAGCCAGGACCTTCCCCAGTAATAGGAGCGAAGAGAAGTTTTTCTTTCCTTCACACTCAGACATCCAACTTTCTAGGTATGGAAGATAGCAAAGGGTTACAAACGAACTTCTCATTTTCAGGTCGTATCTCCTGCACGGCCAAAAGTTCTCCACTTGTGCGGAAGGAATAGAATTAAAGAAATAATATTTGAGAGCACAGCAATGTTACCTCAAACTGTATCACAGAAATACATGGAAAATGCTTTAAAAATGTTTCAAGGGGGAATTCCCTGGTGGTCCAGTGATTAGGACTCTGTGCTTTCACTGCTGAGCACCTGGATTCAATCCCTGGTCAGGGAACTAAGATCCCACAATCCACATGGCACAGCCAAAAAAAAAAAAGGTTTCAAGGAACTACTGAAGTTTTTCTAAAGATTAATCTCTAAGAAAACAAAGCAAGAAACCATGTGATAACAGTATGGCCATGCTAGAAAGTGGTTCACCCCAGTATTTGGTGAGAGTCCATACTTGGTTCCCAAAACAAGATGGAACTTTAATTTCTAAAGAGCATCTTGCCCCTGCATCCTCCCATTTGCAGAAATAACGTTGCAGCAATGAAGCCTCACCATACTTGCTGGAGGAAGGCTGACCAGCGGCACTTCTCACTCACCTAACCCTGGTTCTCAAACAGACAAGGAGGCGTAGCCAGGTCTTACCAATCACGTAGCAAGTCATCCACGTTCCCTTTCCAAACACGCCTTGTAGGAAGCGGAAGACCACAAACACAGGGAAATTGGGTGCAAATGCCACCACAACACCAGCAATGCCAACACCGAAACAGGATATTAAGTAAATGACTATTCGGCCGTACCTTTTGGAGAAAGAGAAAGGATGAGATTACCTTAAACGTTTTCTTCAACACAATGAGAAGACTCTCACTGGAAGTGTTGTTAAAGTAGGTTTAAGTGCAGAATTTGTGTCCTTTATAGGTTCATTATTACCATGTCAAGGATTGCTGAAAATGCTACGCTTTGATTTATAGCAAAGCCAGGGCAAATGAAAACATATGCCTCTGAAATGACATTACAAAATTTAAAGCATGGAATGCATCCTTTGGGATTGCCGTTTCCAAAGAGATGACCCTCTCCATTACAACGCTTTTTTCCCATACAGTCACTCCAGTGGCACAGCTTGGACACTTCCTAGCATTTCTGTGGGTGGGGTCAGAGGAGAAAGGGACAGAAAGAAGCCCAAATGGTCATGACAGCCAGGAGGCCTGGCCTTCTGGCTCAACCATCCACCAGTCATGCAACTTTGGGTGAATTCCTTAAGCAATTCAAGATGCAGGTTTTGTTTGTTTGCTTGTGAATTTTTTTTTTCTTTTTTCTACAGTGAGGTTGTAGAGACCAAACTGAGATGCTAATGTGAAAGTTCTTTACAAACTATCAAGTTCACAATAAATGTGATTTGTTCTTAAGTTTTGTGTTTTACTTTCACCATTTACATAGCCATTATTAAAGCGCTTAGGCAAAAGACACAGGTCACCGCGGGCAATATTCTGAGAGTCTGATGCTAAGTGGTTCCGTATAGCTGTGCCAGATCATTGGCTGGTGAAGCCCTGTCATCAACGACCTTTGAGAGATTTGATTCAAAGACATTTTCCCATAGAAATTTCCATCAAATTCACACAGCATCTTGCTTCAGAGTGGAGACACCAAGTAGTCTCAGTTTACCTGGGTTTTTAAATTCACTCTCTGCCCTTCCCACTCTCCTCTTACAGATACAGGACCTACTAACTTGCTTCTTGTTCTTTCCTTCAAGAATACAAGAGACTGAAGGAGCTGAAAGATGGTCAGCCCTGAGGTGAGGCAGCATTATTCACGGCTCTGTCTTCCTCCCCAAAGTACCGGGTCACATCTGAGGACAGATGCTCAGCCCCTCCTGGAACACAGGTAGGAAAAGCCCCCTCCTTTAGTCATGTTACTTTAGTTTGAAGATATGTTGATTGGCTGTGAAAGAGAAACATGCCGAAGAAGCAAAACCTAATGCTTAAATTAGGAAGAGTAACAACAGAATGAAAGAAATGCATATTGAAAATCTACAACTCAATCCCAAATGGCAGCCAGTTAGGAAAGAGAGGGTTGTGTGGGGAAGATTAAGGAAGGAAAAATGAATTGAAAAGACTGTAAGGAGAGACAGTAGGAAAGACACAGATAAAAGACAGGTAAAGAGCACCAGACACAGAGGATTAAGGAGGACGTCACACGCCAAGGAGGGCTCGGGGGCAACACAAGAAAAAGACGACAGAGGAAGGGACACGAACCAAAGGTGCTACCCATTTTGAAGTCCTGGTCTGGTCAAGTGCAGACCACCAACTGCCTACAGGATTGGGGGCATTTTGTCTTGAATTCTCCAGTTAACTGCTGTTCTCAGCTCTGCAAGAGACACTCCCAGCCCTGCCCACTGCAAGCAGGGTCACGATGACCCACTGATGATGGGCTGGAGTGCTGGGAGCCAACAGTAAGCCAGACATGGAGGACAGAGAGAATTGTTAAATCACTGCAAGTATGTTCATACTTAGAATTGGGATAAAGGAACAGTTAAACGGGAGTACAATAACCTACATCAATAATGTCTGAAACGGGGATATCTGAAGAGAGAGCACGACTGTCTTGAATATATACGCTCACTTTGTGTCTGCCATTAACTGGTGTATTTATGGATGTTCAAGAATAGATCAAATTCTTTTCATGGGTTTTGGAAAACTTTTTTTTTTGCAGAGTTTTTAGTTTGTAGAATAAATACAAAAACTTGTTTTAATTAAATGAAACAAATTTGTAAGGGGGCGACCTTACGACTAAATTCATCAAACCGCGATCAGCGAGTTACTGAAGCCCATGGAATCACCTCCACAGCATCTAGCCAGCCATGGGCCCTGCCATGAGGTCACGGCCTTGCCGCTCTGTGCTTCCTCAGACGCATTCAGACCCAAGGGGAGCAGCCCCAACCTTCTGTACAGTTCAAGGGGTAAGGAGATGAAGTTTACGAAGGAAGGAATTAGTGCAGCAAAACAGGTATGAATGTCATAAGTGGAGGAATTAAGATTTTTTTTCCAAAATTAGCAAGAACAGTTTTCTAATAGTTAACATGAAACATCTTCCTCTCCATAGGTACACATCATTTTCTAGATGTAAACTGGCTGCCATACCCATGCCTACCTGTCCGCTGCATAGCCCAAGGTGAATGCCCCGGCCAGGAAGCCCAGGTTTAGGATGGCTTGTGTGAGGTCCAGCATCCAAGCATTGACACACACGAGGTCAAACTGGGAAAACAAAGAAAACACATGGGAGATGGAGACATGTGGCAATGCTTACCCTCAAGACGCCTGATCATCTGTCCAAGACCAGTGATCCTTAAACATTTTTGCTCATATGCTCCTTAAATAAAAATTTTAAGTGCATCGCACAGATATTTTTACAGTGATATATAAACGTCTTCTTTATCAGTTTCACTATCTGCCGTGGATGCAATTTTCAGTACACTACAAATGCTGACATTTTTCAATCGTTCTTTCAACTGTACCTGATAGAGTACTATAGCCACGTGACGCCTACCATCATCCAGTGAAAACAAGTGCTTCAATAGCCTAAAATTTGACACTAATCTGTTTTCTCTTTGAATTCTTATTTTCATTCCCACATACATATATCCTAATATTTTATGTAGAAAATATTGTGTTTTGTGTTAATGTGTATTATGTTAATGGACAGGTAAATAAATACTTCTGCATGTAATAAAGTATGTACATAAATTGACGTTTAATTAACATTTTTTTCTGTGACAGTGTTTCTAACTATTAGAATCCTTTCTGATTGGGTTATAACAGTTACTTTTAGAACACAATTGACAAAAACATAACATATGATGAATCTTGAAAAAGAATTATTACTCAGGAGTAAAATTTTGTTGGAAATGCACTGCCCCTTTTCTAGAAGAATGTGAAAAAAGCCCGGGGTTTTCCACTTAGTTCATGTAATCTGTGGTTGAAGATTGTTTATTACTAGAATGAGTTAGGGCTCAACATCAATTCTATGCCTGTTTTTCATTTTTATAAATTTATGTGCCAAGAAAACTTGTCTGTATAAGTAAATTAAGGGGAATGGAGAGAGTTTTGTTACAGTATTGTTACTCAATTCTTTTGCTTCCTTCTCAATGCCAAGATTTACAGAACAATCTATCATCAAAATTATTTTTAACTTTTCTATTAACCGACATGCCATCTAAGACTCCTACAGTCTTGCTGTCAGGAAAGAAATGGAAACCACCAGACTCACAAAAAGTTGTTTAATCAAATCATCAGGGTCATTTACTTTCTTTCTTAGTTACTTTCTTACCAATATTCCAAACTGTCCCACTGTTCGGTTCGCCACAGGTTTTAAAACCCCAGGTCAATACATCATAGTAAGATGCAAGAGAGGTAGGAGTCCTTCCACAAAGGGGGATAAGGATATTAGGAAAAGACCTGTATCCTCATCATGTACATATCCTCAGACAGATCCATTTTGGACATATGTGCGTTGAGGCTCTGAAAACTGATTCCCTTCAAGGTAGCCAGGCCCTCTACCTTGTGATTTTCTCTGCACACCTCCAAATGGTATGCTTGCCCCAGTGTGAAGACCACTGCTCTAGACTGTAGCATGATGAGAAAATTAATGTTGGAATAGGAATTGTGAGTGGTCTTATAGATACATATTCATAAACAAACTGTAATAATATTTATTTATAGAACCTGACTTGTCTTGATTCTACAGCTAATGACCTGTCGACTAACATAGCTGGAAAAAAAAAAACTGGGGTCAGTAGTAGCTGGCTCACTTCATAGACTTACTGAAAAGATTTATGGAGATTAAAGAAGTAAGAATATACACATATATGCATAGTAGTAGTAACTTAAAAGAGATTTATTGTCAATGTAGGTACTGGTTTTCCAAAGCAGAACAATTTCATTTTAAGTAAACTTGCAGATGATTATTTATCTGAAATAATTTCCCATTAGAATTAAACATATAAAGGATGCAATTAAAGTATATAAAATCTCAGAGGTCAAACAGGTGATTTAACCGCCAGAGAAAGCATTCTGACACAGAAAAATGTCAGCCAGTGTCAAATATAACCTCTCAAATCCTCCAGCTGAGCTTCAGATAACTTGGTTAACTAAAGATAAAGGAATGCTTTTCATAGATGACACAGCAAGGCCCAGCAAGAGCTATCCTTTTATGAACATATTTAGCTGCTTTTGAATTGTGTGAATTAAAATACCCCTAAATACTCTTTAAACACAAAGATATTCTCTAATATAAAACCAGTGATCTTGGATTTCCCTGGTGGCACAGCGGTTAAGAATCTGCCTGCCAATGCAGGGAACACGGGTTCAATCCCTGGTCCGCAAAGATCCCACATGCCGTGGAGCAACTAAGCCCGCGCACCACAACTACTGAGCCTGTACTCTACAGCCCGCGAGCCACAACTACTGAAGCCCACACGCCTAGGGGCCGTGCTCCGCCACAAGAGAAGCCACCGCAATGAGAAGCTCGCGCACCCCAACGAGGAGTAGCCCCCCCCTCTCCGCAACTAGAGAAAGCCCGTGCGCAGCAACAAAGACCCAATGCAGCCAAAAATTAAAAAATAAATAAATTTATTTTTTAAAAAGTGATCTTTTTCACTCTCCCATAAAAGAAATTGTCAAAAAGGATTATTTTGTATCACAATAAAATTAATTTAAAATAAATGTTTAGGACTTCCCTGGTGGCACAGCGGTTGAGAGTCCGCCTGCCGATGCAGGGGACACAGGTTCGTGCCCCGGTCCGGGAAGATGCCACATGCCACGGAGCGGCCCACATGCCATGGCCGCTGAGCCTGCGCGTCCGGAGCCTGTGCTCCGCAACGGGAGAGGCCACAACAGTGAGAGGCTCACGTACCGCAAAAAAATAATAATAAAAATATAAATAAATAAATAAATAAATAAATAAATGTTTAAGTGGTTAAAGTGCTATGATAACTTAGTTTCTAAAGCACTATGATACCATCCAGACCACATATTGTCAGTCCTCTATACTTCGTTTTGCATCTCAGATGCTGGAGGAGTGGAAACTACAATTCTCAGAATCCTTGCCAGCAGGGGTTCTGTTTAGGTTCTGCCAGTAGGGGGCGCTGGTGCAAGATCAGAAGGCCGGTAGTGGGGATTCTGCTTCTGTCTGTGGCAGCAGCACTGGCTCCAACTGTAGCAGTGACAACAGTCAGTGCTTTTAACCACTCCCCGGCTACACAGGGGCAAATGGACAGGACCCACAGGCTCTGTAATGCTGTGGAGCAGGGCAGGGGTTCTGCAGGAGCTGTCCTTCCTTGCTTTTCTAGCCTTTCCAAAACAGCTCAAACCCAAATCCTTTTATTCAATCCCTTCCCGCTTGAAATACCTAGCCTAGTTTCTCTTTTTATGACTGGGAGCCTGCCATCTTTCAAAAGCACAAAAGAAATTAATATAAACAAATTACATACCTTTAAAAGAAATGCACACACACACACATTTAGGTTCCCAGTAGGGAACAGACACTGCAGTCACAAGGAAGGAAGGGCTTGGTTTTGACTCTTGCACGTACAGTCAGGAGTCAGACCCCTGCCTCCTGGGGCTGGTGCTTCCTAATCGGCGCTGAGCTCACTGCCTGCTGCCAAAACAGCTCTGGGTCTGAGATATGTTTTTGTGTCTAGAGAGAGGTTGGCATGTACCAAAGCCAATGAACGTCATAGGCTGAAGACTTTTTCCTGAAATAAAGTACTAAAAGCTGTTTGTAGTTACCAGGGAGACCTAAAACCCATCTCTTGTCAAATTTAACTAAGTTTGAATCAAAGACACAAGCATTTACGTCTGTCCTAAGGGAATCTACCAAGAACAAGTGAAGCATCTCCTTTCTTTTCCTAAGTGTACATATTTAAAGTTATTTTTAAATGCTCATAAATCCAGGTGTACCCATACTGTTAATTTTCTTTTAAAGTCACTTTTATTTAAATGTCAAGTCATTTTTACACAAAGAGAATTACTCCCCTTGGCATGAGCAGAAAGCCAATCTGATAAAAGATTCAAACAACTGTTCATGGAATGCTGGAAGGGATCACATTGCTTCATTTTGCAGAAAGCACAACTCTAGCCTAATTAGATACTTGCGAAGAGCTTCCAACCAAGTGATTTTTTTAGCTTTTCCTAGTCATTAAAATCCAAACAGACATTATGTTAACTTGGGTTGTAATGATAAAATGCTGGAGCAGGTCATTATCAGATCTATGCTCAAGTTTTGATTTCTAAATTATCCTTAGGACCAGAGTCACAGAATATCTTCAATATACAAAGGCCAAAGGTAGGAAATAAGGTAAAAATAATGCAGGGATGCAAGAGACTTAGGACCTCAGGAGGGGGCTTGCCCGCTCCTGAAACCACAGGGAATGACCCCTGATGACCGGCAGCTGGCTTTTCCATAGATGTCTTGTTTAGCCTTCTTGAACAAATTCTCACATGAGAGATTCTAAGTTTAGAGGACATCACAGTATTTGACTCCAGTGTACCTTTGGTTTGACCACTGGGTGTAGGGTGCCTCTGGCTACATTTAGCACTGGCCAGACAATCACAGGTTGACCCCCATGGATGGATTCCATTTCTAATCAACAAGCCGCCATCACAGAGCCTAATAATGGTTAAAAATAGTGTAATCATAAAGAAAATCATTTGGGTTGGGTCTCCATGAGGGGGAAGGATGTCATTATTAATTCTAGTTTTAATGAAAATTTCTTTAACATGATCCGATAGCATTATTTGGGTATCTTAATACCTAAAAGTTAACGCTTTTCTGATCTGTATGAACCATCATGATGAGCTGCAGGTATGAAAACTAATCATCAGGTATTTACAGCTTCCAGTGGTGTGCCTGGCATCATGCAGACGAAGCTGGGAGCAATACCAGCGATGAGCAGGCTTTGCTTGTGCCTCTGTGAGGAGCTTATTACACGGCTTAGAGAGCCAGGATGAATTCATGGGCAGCAAATGCAGAGGAATTGAGATCTGAATGGAATGGGATTGACTATAAATGTGTGAGGGCCTCAGGAAAAGAAAGGACTGCTGGGACCCAGAGCAGTCAGATTCGTCAAGAAGGTGGGACATAAACAGATGCTTCAACAATGAGTTGCATTTAGAAGGAAAAAAAAGGGGAAAGAAGGGTACTGAGCAGGACGATGGGCAGCCTAGGCTCAAGGACAGAAGCGTGCGGGCCAATGAGG